CTTGTTTGTCTCTGAAAGGCCTCATGAATAAAGAAGATTTATCAAAGCTCCTTACAGACGCTCACTAACTGACAGGAGTTTTTACATTGTTGAGTTTCTTTTACAGTTTGTGAGACACAAAGAAGCCGAATCTTTAAGAAAAACAGAAAAAGCACCAGTTGTTGGACCGGTGTGATCCCTGGTTGGTCTTATAGAGCATTTTGTGAAGTTTATGTCAACGAGCAGAAGGTTTAAGTCTCCCAAAGTCTGTTTTTCAGGTGAATTTATTTAAAATACTCAATGACAGACTGCACTGGTCATTCGACTTCACAGAATCTGAATTTAATCACTTGTTATGACCTAATTATTTTATGTGGATTTAAACAATAATACTGCACTTGACCCAACTTTAAATCTTTTTCCTGTTTCAAATGATTTTCTGAACATTTCAGTTGATGAACCAAACTAATATATTTGAAATGAACCAACCCAATATACTTACTTTTGACTAAATTAACATGTAAATTAATGTTTGTATTGACATCATGTTAATTAATTTATATATAACCAAATTATAATTTTTACATTTCATTTCACTTTACCTAAAAAATAATTTCCATTTCCCATCTTACAAACTCTATTAATAACAATTTGCCATCAGATTACTTTAAATGTATTTATTAATTGTTAATATAGTCTTAAATACTGTAAATACAGGTGGTGTAAATTGACGTTAACTAACCTCGGTAGCAGTTATCATCTGTCGCTAACATGCTAACTATAGCACTGAAGGCTCCCGCTGCCAATGACAGCCGTGTATCTGGCTTTTAACTCGAACTAAACTCCACATTGTATCTTTTGGCCATTGTGCTTTTGGCTAGCAAATGTTAGCAATTTACTGTCATAACTAGGGATTTCACCTGTCCTTTGAAATACGGAATCGTGTTGTATTTAGAAGTTAAATTACGCGTCCTGTATTGAACTGATAAAGGACGCTTTTTGTTCCATATTTTCACAAATAACTAAAAAAAAAAACAGTTATTTCGGTGAGACTTGCGCACAGTCTGCATGTCCTGATTCTGTCTCACTGTCATAGTGGGGGTTGAGGTTTGACAGGACGCAAATGTAGACCAAAGCTTGAGGTGCTACTTGAATGTTTAATAACAAAAAGGATAACAGAAGCAAAAATCCAAAAACACAAATTCACAAAAATGCTGAAAACCAAGAATACTCACAACAAGAAGGGGACAAAGTGATGACGACAAACCAGCCAAGAGTGACTGAACAGGAGGAGATTATATGGGAGAGAGAAACAAAGACCAGGCTAATTAGCAGATTGGGAGCAGGTGTGAACAGAGCAGGCAAGAAGGGATCTAGGGAAAAGAAGAGTGACACAAGAGGGTAAAAAGGGAATATCTAAGAACTCAAATACAATAAAAAATACCTAGAACACAAAAATCAAAATAAGAGCAATGAAAACTCAGAGATAAAACTTGAAGAAAACCAAAACCATTGCACTCCCTCCCTCTGGCTCTCTTTGAATCAGCGAAACTGCCCCACCTGCTGGCGATCATGAGTCACATCCTCAGCATTTCAGCATCCACCGGATATATGGAAAGGGTGTTCTCACAGATGGCAAACAAGTGGACGGGCAGCAGGAACAGGTGCTCTGTAGAGCTTATTAAGAGTGTGCTCCTCATCACACTCATCTCTGAGCAGTCCTGCTCAGTTTTACACCAGCAGTCTGGCAGACAGGGAGTTACTCAGTGCTGCAAGGAGTAACAGTAAGTACTCATGGAAAAATAAGAGACACTTCCAAGTTCTATGTCATTCCCAGTTTAGGCCTAGCTAGTTCCCATTCAAGTTTATATTTTAGTTAATCAAAGTTAATTGTTGCACTTTCAAGTTGTAAAGAGGTAGTCTATGTAGGCCTACCTCATGTTCTGTGATGTTATGTTATGTCTCTGTTAAGTCTTTGCAAACTGTAAGTATGACTAGTCTTTTTTTATCTATGGATGTCAGACATTAATATGAATGGCAATATTTATTTTACAACTAAATATGTGCAATCAAGAGTAAACCCCAACACATACACTGTACACTAATGCTGTATAGGCCTACTGTACATTTTCTGGCTACTTTTACTCATTAATTTCTGATATCCCCCAACATACGAGATCAGAATTTTTAACTTTCAAAATGACTTAACATAATGCTGTCAAATGAGCCCTTTGAATTAGCAGTTTCTTATTTCTTTGAACTATATGCATTGCCATGTTTTTAGCGTGCATAGCCATGTTATATTCTTTGTAGTACTGGAGCTGCTGTGCTCGTTTGAATATCCATACATGCATTATGATCTTAGACAGTGGTTTTTAATGTGGGTGCCGGAGACCTTTGGGGGGCCACTGCAGGTTGGCAGACAAAAGCATAGCACAACAAAATGAGTCATTGAATAAACTGGGTAACTAACAACCAAAATAAACCAAAAGTACGGTAAGCACAAAAACCCCATTAATGTAATAGCGGTAATCTTCCCTATAGCCTAAAAAAGTTCTCATTCATGCTTATTCAGTCCCTTTGCTCATCTAACCGACTCCATCTTTTTGGCTTCGATTAATTTGGAGAAATCATTGCTAATGTTGACTTTCTTTATATTGTTAAACATGATCATAAATGCTGCCACCCTCATGCAAAAATCATACCAGACACTTTTTCCTCTAACTCCAAACCTAGGGCATTCGAAAAACTTTAGACAATTCACGCTTTGATATAAAACAATAACAGAAAACTTTTGGTTTAAAACAAACAGCCAGAAGATTCAACATAGTTCACTAGATTATGAAGTGCCTCAGGGCTCAGTTCTTGGATGAAATCTCTTCACCTTTCTACTCTCCCAGGTTGTTAGAGAGACCGAACTATAGCTATAATTATAATTCTATATCTAAACACAAATCCCAATTAACCCAGTCAGTTCTTAAAGATACATTATGTAAGTTTTACGGGATAATATCTTTAAAAACTGCATTTTATTTGACTTTCTAAGACTAAAACATTGTTTGATAGTCATCTACAGTATAAGCCTGTACCTTAATTTTCTTAATTTACTTTGGGTCAGAAGGTCCAACAATGTTTGCCGGATGTCACCTGAAGTGCTTCCATGTTGAATAGGTTGGACCTAGCAAACAAACAATGCGTTAAATTCAAGGTGGATTTTGTGGATACTCAGAAGCGACCATCATCAGACATAACTCTTTATTATCAGGTCATCCTAAAAGCTATCTGAAAGTACTATAACCGTTATAACTATAGAAGTCTAATATTTTGGACTCTGATGTTAAGGAAGTCTGTAATGTGGTTAATTTTATGTACTGTGGTAATCTTTCCTCTCTCTGGAGTCATAGTATCACAATCCCTCACATCTTCAAACTTTCGTTTGAAGCTTTTTTGTGTAAATTGACTTAGTAATTAATCAGTTTTCTCTTTCTTTGTGATTTTCCTTCATCAAAGGAATTAAATAATCATATTTCTGCAAACAAACAAAAGTTTCAGAAGTTTTTTTGTTCTTTTGTTTTGAACAGTTTATGCATCATAAATGTATAATTTTCAGTCTGACAGCACAGCGCTTAGATCCTTGTGACTGACAGAAAATCAAATCTACTGATGTTTGATTGATCGCTGAGATGAAAGAGACCCAAAAAGTTTGGTGCATATTTAAATGTATTTAAATCTGTTCCTTCTTTTCAATCTTTCTGCCCAGAAAACGCACAGATTGAGTTATTAATACATCAAAAAGCTCTAAAGTCTTTTTGGCATCTCAACAGTTTTTAATAGAATGGAGGACGCTAACATAAGATGCTGATTTTTCATAAACTGATTTTTTTTTTTCTGTATGTTTTTTGCTTATTTAGTCAAACTTTAAATAAAAAGTTCCTGAAAATCTAAAAGGAACTGAGTTTATGTTAAATCCAGATTTTCAGATTAATTTTAATGTTAAAATCGACCAAATTTGAAGGAGACCCAGGCGTGTAAAAGTGCTCAGAGTGATCCAAACAATCAATTCTCTGTAAATCAACTGCTTTTTTTCTTTTAAAAAATAGCACAAACAAAATTAAATTAAAAAACTATTTCAATAAAACATAAATCTTTCACTTATTTTGATCAATTTTGTCATTATATATACCTATATATTATTGATGTATTTTATTTTAAATAGCTGTTTGTCTGAAATGCTCAAATTTAATGATTTAAACAAGTATATATATTGTCAATGTTCAAATAATTAATCTTTAATCTTAGTATATTTAGATGCAAAGATAGAATTGAAATAAAAACATGCTTAGAAAAATTAAAAATTTGAACATTTTCTATAGACAGATAAACAACAGAAGGATTTCAGTCTGAACATACTGGACCAAAGAGAAGTTTATCTTTTATCTCTTTAATTTAACTTCTCAGTTAAAATATCTGCTAATTGATTTCAGAAAAGCTTGGAAAGACTTTATTTTTGAATGTATGGTATATCTTTTCACATTAATGGTGCTTAATATGGCTGAGAACAATCAGAATTATAGTACTATGTTTTATTTTTAAAATTCATTAAAATGCAGAATTTTCTCCTCTCTTCAGGATTTCTAAAAATAATTTATTTCCTTTAAAGTGTTTTTACATTTTTTTTTCTGATTCATTGAGAATTTATTTATTTTAAACAAAAAAAACAACAGTAATAATTACTTTATGACACCTCTGAAGACATAGTGGGCTTTGACACAAGCTCAGTGAAACAAAAGTCTGTTTTTTCTTACAGGTTTTGAAGAAGTGGAGCATTTAGCAGGAAACTGCGGGATATTTCCCTTTTGCAATGTCTTGCCTCCATATTACCCATGGGCCAATTAGAAAGGAGACAGACTTCTACAAGCTCTCTGATTGGATGAGAGTAAAGGACAGACCTTTGGAAACAGGAGAAAGAGAACAAATATGGATTTTGGTGTTGAATTCTGTCATTCATCAAAAGCAGGGAAGGAAATCAGAAAATCAACTATTTGAAGTTCCTTTGGTTGTTCTTCTTCTAACTTTCCCCTGGAAGTTGGAATCGTCTGTTTCTGCATTTGGACCAGGGAGGACAGAGATCTTCTCTGGAGGAAGATCTCAGATTAAAAGTTTCTTTAACTATTGATAGGGAGCTGCATATTTCTGAATGCTTCTCCTTCTCTCTCCTCTCTCTGAATATTGGGACACACCTGAGATGAGAATCTGCAGTTGGCTCTGGGGAACCACCTTCAGCGTGATGCTCCTCATCCTTCCTGGAACAGCTCAGTACGAGGATGGGAGTTTGGTTCCAGGGCGAGGCTCCTGCCAGCCCATCTCCATCCCCTTCTGCACAGACATCGCCTACAACCAGACAATCATGCCCAACCTGCTGGGTCACTCCAACCAGGAAGAAGCCGGCCTGGAGGTCCACCAGTTTTACCCACTGGTCCAAATCCAGTGCTCTGCAGAGCTGCAGTTCTTCCTGTGCACCATGTATGCCCCGGTGTGTACAGTGCTGGAGCGGGCCATCCCGCCCTGCAGGTCTCTATGTGAGCAGGCTCGGCAGGGCTGTGAGGAGCTCATGAACAAGTTTGGCTTCCAGTGGCCCGACAGGCTGCGCTGCCAGAACTTCCCTCTCCATGGAGCTGGAGAGATCTGTGTGGGTCAGAACACGAGTGATGCTGAAGGCTCTGCCTCCGAGCTTATCCCGGCCACAGTCCCTCCCCTTATATGGAGCGACCGTCCATTCTCCTGCCCCGTGCAGCTTCAGGTGCCCCCCTACCTCGGGTACTACTTCCTTGGGGCCAAGAACTGTGGTGCCCCCTGTGAGCCGTCCAAACCAGGTGGACTAATGTACTTCAGTGAGCAGCAGGTAAAGTTCAGCCGGCTCTGGGTTGGAACCTGGTCCATTTTGTGCTGCCTCAGCACTCTCTTCACCACACTGACCTATTTACTGGACAGAGGGAGGTTCCTCTACCCAGAAAGACCCATCATCTTCCTGTCTGGCTGCTACTTCATGGTAGGAATGGCCTACAGCGCCGGCTTCCTGCTGGGGGACAAGGCGGTGTGTGTGGACAGGTTGAAGAAGGACGGCTACAGGATGGTGGTCCAAGGTACGGAGCAGGACGTCTGCACTCTGCTCTTCATTGTCGCCTATTTCTTCAGCATGTCCAGCTCCATGTGGTGGCTCATCCTGTCCTTCAGCTGGTTCCTATCTGCTGGGATGAAGTGGGGCCATGAGGCCATCGAAGCCAACTCTCATTACTTTCACCTGGCAGCCTGGGTGCTTCCAGCGCTGAAGACTATCAGCGTGCTGGCCATGGAGCAGGTGGAGGGCGATCTGCTCAGCGGTGTCTGCTCTGTGGGAATCTACAGTGTGGAAGGGCTGCGAGGCTTCATCCTGGCTCCGCTCTTCATCTACCTCCTCATCGGCGACTCCCTCCTGCTGACCGGCTTCCTGTCGTTGTTTCGGGTCCGATCCATCATGAAACATAATGGTACCAACACCAATAAACTGGAGAAGCTTATGGTTCGGACCGGTGTCTTCAGTTTGCTCTACACGGTGTCTAATGCAGTCACCATCGCCTGTCTGGTATATGAGCAGGCATCTCGACCCCGATGGGACGCCACCTGGCGATTGCAGACCTGCCGTCATTTTTCTCTGCCCTGCCCAGCCAAAAATACACCTCCTGCATCGCCAAGCTTCACAGTATTCTTAATCAAGTATCTGATGACCTTAATGGTGGGGATAACATCTGGTTTCTGGATCTGGTCAGATAAGACTATTCAGTCCTGGCTCCGGTTTTCAAAGAGAGCTCTGATCAACCAGGATAAGGTGGGAAGGAGGTGCAGCAACAGGAGACAACTCAATCTGCATCTTCACAAGCCAAACAAACTAACATACAGAAACTGAACAAGCTAAATTAGGACAGTACTGAGGTTTAGAGTTCTGTCTGGGTTTCTCACCAGAAATGCTTTGAGAGGAAACCTTCCAACTCTGATGATAATCATTTAAATCAGGTCAAAAACTTTGGAGTCATTTGAATCAGATTTAACCTTTAACCTTTCAACATTTCTCCATCCTTAAAGTTTGCACAAACACAAAGGCAAGTTTGAATCAATAGTGGAGTAATAATAAACAAGCGAGTAATAATATTTTTTCTGATGTTTTTTATACATACAAATCCTGGCTAGACTTGTAAAAATAAACATAAAAATAAATTTGATAAAAATAAAGTAAATACATGAATTTCTCCCTCCATCAGGGTGTTGCAGAACTGGTGCCTATCTTCAGAAGTCTAGGAGCAAACGGCAGGATGCACCCTGGACAGGACGCCAGTCTTAAAGTTAAAATAAGGATGCTATTTATTAAAGGTGCACAACTGTCTTAAAACGTCACCTGTTTGTTCTGGCTGAATTCTGGGTCCTTATTCTCTGAACGTTAAAACAAAGCCGCACCTCAGATCATAAATGCAGAGCTTTTAACTGTTTTAAGTCCACACTGCAAAGCAAAGAGGAGCTGATCCGTGTTCATTGGTATTTTTTTTGCATTGTGCATCAGTACTAACACCTAAGTGGAAAAATAAAATGTCTACAGCTGCTAAAAGATGTCAAATCTACACCACTGGAACAGTTATGTCTCTTTTCTTTCATTTTTCATGTGCTTGAAGCCAATAAAAAGTATTAAATATTAAAAATCAGGTCAGTTTGTTCCCATGCTGACCTTTTGGTTTGAAAGTAAAATAAAAATAGTTTGCAGATATTACCTTTGACCTCATTGGGAAGCTATGATGCTGAGTAATTAAGTTATAAAATATAGAAAAGCAATTATAGGCACAATCTATTGAACAACAGAGCAGATCTTTTTATTCTATTCTATGGTTCATCTTTTTAACACTTGGATTTACATATAATATATAGTGTGGGTGATTTAGATGTAATAAAGAACAGAAGATCCTGGATACTTTCAGGAGTGTCCTTTTCTGTAATAAGAGGGTTTTTTTGTGATGAAAGCAAGAGTCTGTCTGAGTGCATGAAGCCCTGATCAGGACTTTACTCAGCTGCCACCACAGCAACACAGGCTTTAGCTTTTCCAAACTGATTTTTGTTTTTTTGATTTCATAAATTTTTTTCATATAACAAACAAACAAAAAACACTTTAAACAACTTAAAAGTTGGCCTTAAATATCTAAACATCAGGATACAAAAGTTGTTGTACATTTATCTCTTCTTAGAATAGAATAGAATAGATTTACTTTATTTATCCCAAGCTGGGAAATTGTAGTGTAGCAGCAGCTTTACACATAGTGACAGTCTTGTCAGTATTCAATTTCAGCAAACGGGCAATCAGTAACTGCAAAGCCCGCTTATACTTCCAGCCGGCTCTGCTTAAGGCTTATAACCCCAGTTAGTCTGTTAACAGATACACAATGCTGCCTCTCTAGTGTTTTTCTAAATGTTGCATCCTCCTTTGGATGATTAACAAACACCCATACTGTACCATGTAAAACTAAGCTCTGCAAACAATTACATTGTTTTTATTAACTTAAAATACTTTATATTATGGCTTAATTTATTTGTCTAAAAGGTAAAAATGTACAACCTCAGCTTGCAAAGAATAAAATGCTAAAACTAAAATTAATTGCTTTTTTTATTATCATGAGCCTGTAGTTACAAAACATGCCCACAAGGTGGCAGCCAAGGATATTTGAGAAAATGACCCATTGCACAGCTTCTGAACTGAGAACCCGAATCATGTCTTCTAGGAAGGTAATTAGTTAGTTCTGTAATAATCTAAGCATTGGTTATCTTTTGTTTTGGCAGTTTAGATAAAAACTGTTCTCATCATGTGCAGCTGTGCACATTTCCTGCTGACTGACAGCAACATCTGTTCCCTCCTGTTCAGTCTTTTTATTTCTGGCAGATCTTTCAGATGCCACCCAGATGTTTCTGTTACTACTAAAACAAATGCACCTGGGATATTTGGTAAGAATCTTAGCACAAGACACATGTCTACCTTGCAGGACCGTTGTCCTAAACACTCAGCCAAACTCCTATTTGGTAACAGAGACTAGAACTGATGGAAAATGAACAACAACAACAACAAAAGAATTCATCTCACCTGTATCCAATAAAAAAATGCATATGAAAAGAACAAGAAATCACCTTATTTAGAAGATGGCTCCATGATTCTAGTTCCTATCTGTTGGGAAATAACAGAATAATCAATAAACAGATTGTTGATGATCTTATGTTTTGCAACTCAGGAAATTAAAGTAGAGATCTTTGTTTCTGACCTCCAACACTTAACATGAAGGTAAAATCTTTGGCAACCTGCTATGCTCTCAGATGTTGATCAGAACAAAAGCTCAACACAAAAGAAAGGACATTCACTGCCCAACTAATTTAGAGCATAATAAAAAACAAAATGAAAAGCAGATATTTATACTGTCTTTTTTAAGAATTCTGGAAATTTTTAAGCATAAGAACATCATTGCTATGTTGTTTACAATGAAAATACATTTCCATTCAGCTGAGAAAACACAAACACATTAAGAATACACATGATTTCTCTGATGTGTGAAAGAATTAAAGCATTTAATAATAATATATCATTAGCATCATGAACAGACTGCCATGTAAATCAAGACCTCACTTTCATTTCAAACAGGAAATCAGCAGGCAGAGGTTATTGTTCTGATAACAATCAGATGGACACGTTTTTTCTATGCATTCATTTTTTATTCTGTAAATTGATGGGAATTTTAGCAACTCAGACATGTTGGCTCTGAAGATCCTTTGCAAAATCATCTTTATGTCTCTGGGTAAATGCAAAAAATCAAATGCAAAGATGTCCTGCAGTTTCCTTTAGCTGAATCAAAACAAAGATGAAGCGAACAAGAAGGAGTGACCAAAAGTTATTAAACAGCTCCAGTATATTCAGTTAGAAACCACCAATCAGGCACCAAACCTCTGTGTTCTGATGGATTTAAACCTGAACCTTCAGAGACATATGGACAGTAATAGTTGGCTGTCTTTATCTTTCTTAGCTCTCACAAAACAGGCTTAAATCTGAGGCGTCTGACACTTTGTGGTTGCAATGACCCAGATGATTTAGAATTTACACAGGCATCTTTAGGAGAACTGATTACTGCGACGTTTTTCACAGGTCTGCCTAGAAAGTCTATCAGATAGTAGCTCCTGCACGTCCTCCAAGCAACTCAGAAAGTAGAGCACATCAGCACCCTGGTTCTAAACTCTTTATACTGGCTCCTCTTTTCTCAGAGAATATATTTTAAAATACTTTTGCCAGTCTGCAGACTTGGGTTTTATGCAATTAAGAAAAACATGTTTCAACTGTAAAAAGTGTTCATATACTTTTGTTACATATACATATTTGTATCATCAGAATTAATTTGGTTGTTCTTCAATGAGGCTGTAACATAAAGTCCATTTTCCCTCTGAATGAAGCTGCTGTACGGCTCAATTTCATCCAAGTCCTGCAGAGCAAGTCATGAAAAATGCATGTTGAAATATTTTTGTCATATTGATCATTTAAATGTGTGCCTTTACTTTTTTATGTAAATTACCTCATTTGGATTGTGGCTGCTTGATTCTGGTTGCCCTCTGATGAGAAATACAGTATTTTAGTTCCAATGAAGATATACAGATCATTATCTCTGCATGCTTTAGAAGGCAGGAAATGAAGCAGAGGCTCGTCTCTCATTTGTAAAATATTTAAAATCTGGGTCATTGTAGCACTGCCCTCATTTAGTTATTATTGTGGATAACAAAACATAATCAAAACTGCTATTTGTCTAATTTGCGTAAGTAAAAAAAATAAATTTTAAATTGGGTATTGAACAAGTTTATCACCGATGGCAACGTCTTCTGTGGACAAATCCCAGAATAACGGAAATGAAGATAATAATGAGAATTGTAGCAGTCAAAGCAGAGGGAAGCATCATTTTTTAAAAATTGCTCTCATCTTCATCTTCTTCATCATCTTTATAATTTGATAAAATAAAAACAATACATTTTTTTGTGTGAAACTTCCTAAAAAACAACTATGCAGCAAATATAAAAAGAAGCTCACCATTTACTGTGATGTTGAGGGGCAGAATATATGTTCCATCAAGTTTGGAACACTCACAGGTGTAGTTCCCATTATCAGCTGCTGTTAAACTGGTCAGGTGCAGAAACACGGTGTCATTCCAGGTTTTAAGGGTGAACCTGGAGTCACACTCATGAACAAAGTTGCCTCCTTCCCTGTACAGCAGACGGCACTCCTCGCCGTTCCTCACCGTTCTGATCCTACACACTATCAGCATGATGACATTTGATGTTTCATTGGTGCAGATTGGTTCTTGGACTTTATTCCTTACAACACCTGCTGTAAATAGTAAATTATAATCAGTATCAATGATTGAAAGTTATACGTTGTAATTTAGATCAATTACACTTTGCTAACAGAAAGTGAAAGTTGGTTCAAAATATACAGAACTTGAAACCTTGAGAAAATGTGTCTCTTTACCTTACCTTCACCGTCCAGAAAAAACACAGCACCTGGCAGAAGCAGTAAAAGTCTGATTCTCAGTGCATCCATCTGACCCGTTTTCCTGGGACGCTTTGCTATGCTGCACTAAAGAGAGGTCGCCTGAACCATCCTCTGATCTTTAGGGCTAACTACAGTAAAACACACATTTTATCTCTCAAGACGATAAAGGATGTGACACTTTTCTGTAAAAGGAAACGTGTGAACGTATTGAAATAACAGAAATAACAAAGTCTCTGAAAATTGAGTTATTACAGTTGATTTTTCCTAGCTCAAAAGTTTACTTTAAATCAAAAGAACCCATATTTATTTATGTAAATTAATAAGAGGTTTTTTTTTCTGTACTGCAGCCGCTTTTATCAGACCCCAGAGATGAAGGACTTCCTGTCTTGTTTTCTGCAACACTCGTGGGTTAGTAGGACTGAAGAGGTAAATGTCAGGCTTGCTTTGTGGTCTTCAGAGATTAAGCCTGAATG